TTTTTTTGTGTAATTCTGAGGATACCTGTAACGATAAACAGCATACTCCTTTGCGATTATTGCATAAATTTGAGTCAAAATTATAACATATGGACATTGTAGTATTACTTTGAAGATCATTTTGAGTGACACAAATCTATGAGAATGATGACCATGCAGGATCCCAAATCTTTAGCAATCCAGCGGGAAACACTTGTGCACACGCTGTACGAATACTATGCATACATGATCTGCACAGGAGATCTCACTTTCTGAACTTCATCTCCTAATTACTCTGTGTGGTAACTTGGCAGAACCATCCTGCATTGTTTTATAAAACATGTCGTTTTATGAAAAGCAGTATGTAGCGTACCCCGTGCTTCAATTAATAATTATGCTGCCCTCATTATTACCTAAAAATGCAGAGGTGATTAAAAACATTTCTAGTTATATGGTTCTGTTGGCTGCAAGAGAATTCGTCTTATAGCTCCCTCTAATTACGGTTAGTTAAACACCAAATAAATGCATCAAAATATCAAGGTACTTTCAATTTAAATGTGCCTAAGTTATACAATTATATATTGTCCCTAAATATGGTGCAATTTACATTAAGTGTAAAACTATACACTGAATAAATGCGCTAATTTCTACAGCTTGACATTAAACGAGTGTCTGCTTTATTTTTCATGCAAAAAAGTAAATAGCTACCGGTAAAAATGTAAATTATCAGTAATTGATATATATTTTCGTAATTTTTGTTAGTTTGTTTGATTTTATACCTTGACATACATATACCGCTACAAATGGCGCTCATTTAAAGTAGGCTGTTAAATTTAGTCATTCGCATTTCTATTCGATGCGCCGTAAGTGCCAGGATAAAACACTATCTTTAATCAAATAAAGGGTTCATATTTTGCTTTTCAAAGCACAATGATAGTCACAAAATCAGTTTTATATTCATAAATGAATATAATATTTTACTAAGAAGTTAGTGCAATTGAATACCCACTTTTTACGACTTATACACAAAGTTTTTGCAGGTTTAAAATAGCAAGTACTTTAAGTTTGCAAGCAATGCAATTTTTTGTGAATGTGCTTCAACCAAAAAATTGCAAATTTGTCCCAGTGTCATTTATTCTTTTCACTCGATCAAATACTTCGATCAGTGCTCAAAAACATGTTGGTAGGCATTGGCGTTTGATCTGAGAAGACAGAAGGGGAGGGAGGCGTAAGGCGTGAGGAGCAGAATGTGGTATTCCACGCCACAAGGGCTTCATGGTGCTGAATTGCGCGCAGTCTGTTTCGCTTGCCCTAGACAGTGCTTCAGTGCTTTCTCATTGGTAGCGCCGTAGGCGGTGTCGACTGCATTGTGCGGTATCTACCACTTGGCACTCCTATTTTACCCCAATGCTACTTTATGGCCTGTTCAGTAGATGTCACTGTGTGAAAGATTAGAAGAAAGGACATTGCAAGGCGGTTAGGGTGATATTAGCGACATACGAAATCTAATTGAATTACATCTTAAACATTTCAGGTAATCCAAATTTACAACGTAAAATATGCATTTATATTATGCATAGATAGCTATATAGCTCACCACAAGCAAAACTTTAGCAAATTTGGTCGTCTAGCCACCTTAAGGGTTGACGTAGCAATTTAATAAATAAACTCGTAAAGTGAGCATTTATATGTCATGCAATCAAGTAAGGTGCATGAGCATGAAAAATACCGTACTTACCTCGCATATGGCACATATTGGGAGAAATGCATTCTCTTGTATTGTGCTTGACTAAATAAAATTAGGCAAGATGAGTGATTGATGATGCATGGCGCACTAGCTTCGATCTGGCAGAAATATGCAGTTCATGTTTTTGTGAACAA